GTAGATTGATTGATTGATTAGTGGGGGCGAGGTCGCCCCCCCATCCCCAACAGGCCCACACACACACACACACATGCAGTATTGTACATTTCCATGTTCTAACGGAAGATTCATTCGATTTTTTTATTTTTTTATTTTTTTTGATTGATTGATTGATTGATTGATTGAGTGGTGGGGGAGGGGTCGCCCCACCCCCACGCCACCCACCACGGGCACACACACACACACACACATATACACACACACTATCTGTCCCGCGCGCAGGCGAAGGCGCAGCGGGGGCAGCACACACACACACACATACACACAGACTTACAAATTTATATATGTAAAAGATTAACCATTATTGATAGAAAGAATCCCCTAGCGGGAATTGTAGATGTCCAAAAATATTAAAAAACAAAAAATTAAAAAAAACAATAAATAATAAATAATAAATAATAAATAATAAATAATAAAAAACTATATATATAAGTATATATTTATGTATATATTTTGTATACATCTATATATATATATATATTTAACTTTTTATTGAACGTTATTTCGAAAGTAAAAAATCTTTTTTCTTTTCTACAAGGTCCCTGCAGAACCCGAAATGATTAAAAAAAAAAAACTATTGACTCTTGGTGCTCATTTCTATAGGTACCTCCCCCGGTTCCGTATTGCTGTCCCGCAGGAAAGTACCCCTAGCCCCTACCTTTCCACCAGGAAGGACCCTTTTATACCAAGTACCCAAAAAAAAAAATTAGTGGGACCTACTCCTATTCTTTCCCCCGGTTTTCCAACCGCGTCCCTCTAGGTATATATCCAATGGCGTACGTTTCAACTTCCCTCCTCGGTGTCTAGGTGGTAGCAGCGCCTCTTCTTCCTTGGATCGTTCTCTCGAAGAATTGCGCTGCGTCTACCTCGTCGGACCTCCGTACCCGCATGTTTTTGCTTTGGCGTTCGGGTGATGATCAATCTGCTGTTTCTTGGGCATGATACTATTGTCATAAGAAGGAATTCGGCAGCTGCTTTCTTTTTGCTCAACATCTCCGTGCGGATCACTGTGGAATCATGGCTTGAACTGCTTCCGGTTCTCGATCTTTGCCGGTAATGAAGTCGTTGTTCCCTGTCTTCTACCTCCACTCCTACCCCACCCCTCTCCCCCCTCTCCTCCTCTTCTAATCTTCTCCCTTCCGGAATGATAACCAAGGGGTCTTCTCCCCAGATGATCTAGCTTGACAGACGCTAGTGAAAAGGTTTTTGGGACATGTCTATTGCACCCTTTTAATGGTTTCGTCAACTCTTAGGGTTGCCTGGCCGGATTGGGAATCGTCGGTCTCTTTATCTTCTTTTGTCCCTATTCTCTCTTCTTTCCTATGCCTTTATAAACTTTTCTTCCTTTCAACTTATACCCTTATATGATCCTAGTGCATTGATGCTCTCTAACGATTGTTCCCTTCATAATCATCTCTCTTTTGGTTGTTCTGGTTGCTTTGTTTGCTTGATTCTTGATGTCCTCATGTTCTAGGATTTGCTGACGTCATCGCAATTGCAATAGGAGTTTTTCTACGCGCCAAAGTGGAGCTCCGTCTTTATGGACCAGATCACTTTCGCCCTTGGATTAGTTACTTTGATCACGATGTTCCTGACCACTTTAGCATTCTTTAATTTTCTGGATGAAATTCACCATCGTAATAGCATGGGTAGCTTTCTGAGCCTGTGCAATTGTTCAGCATCGTCAGCAGTTATTCCTAAGTGTCTTTCTCGTCCTTAATCATGGCGTTTTACCATTCACGCTTCCCCTGTTTCTTCTTTAGCTTAGTTATAATGTTAGTTGTAGTTGTAGTTTTTTTCATCCTTGCTCTGCTTAGGTTTGATAACATGTATTTCCCAATCGACCTATCTACTCAGTGTCCTTCGGGTGGTCCCTCTTCTTTTATTGGTTGTGCCTGCCTGCCCACCTTACATCTCGTCGCGATCGTTGCGATCGTTGCAATCTTTTTTGTTTTTTTAGCATTCTCGATGTCGACTTTGAGCTGGCGTATGTATGTGTTCATGGAGGCTGATCTTTTTCCGCCATAAGTGGTTTCTTCGTTGATTAGTTCAATCATCTCTGGAACTGTTGCTCTACCTTGCGTAGTTTATTCTCTTGTAGATAAGTATAGTTGAATGTTGAAATGTACTTTTTTCTTCCCTCGTCCATCCCCTCCTCGCCACTAGTATCTTCTCCCATCTATTACCTTTTCTCTCCTCGATTCTCTCTCCCCTCTCTGTCATTTTTTCCTTTCACGTAGCTTTTTCTCTAGGCTTATTTTAGAGGTACTCTTTGATAGTCTTCGTATAGTTTCTAACGTTTATCGTGGATCAACTGATCCTCTTACCCTTCTTCCTTCTTCGGAATTGTTGATCTCTCTAATGCTAGCAATTTGCTTTGCTCCGACCGATTGGTAGTCGCTTTTCAGAGTGCTATAACGGTTACGTGGGCGTCTGTTGTCTCGAAGTTGTCTTGTATGAAATCTTCCTTCAAACATAGATAGTTTTTCTCGAAGATTCGGATTGAGTTCTGGTAATTTAGTCCATCGATCATGGTTGATTGATGACTATTCTTCCAAGTTTCCCCGGTCTTGCCGAAAAAAATATTTGGATATATGAATTTTTGGTGTTGATTTCATAATTATATAAGTTTACGATTCGCACTTATTGCGCTTTACTTGTTCTCTATGTACCTACTCGCTCATCTTTGGTTTCCCCTTCTCTCTCTCTCTCTCTCTCT